TTTAGCTGATTGATGTTACTTCAGCAACCCGACTCCAGAGTTTCGTAGACAGACCTGTTCGCCCACTCGTCAGAGGGTTTCAGGTATACATATATAGCCTAATACATAAATTGTAACAAAATAGGAACATTAAATAAAAAGCTATTTCATTTCAATCAAATGCATCAGAATTATAACTAAGATGAAATTGTTACTTAGAGTATTATGAATAGATACACATAGACACATACGTATTATGAATAGATACACATACACACATACGTATTATGCATAGATACACATAGACTCATACGTATTATGCATAGGTACACATAGACACATACGTAATATGCATAGGCACATATAGACACATAATTATTATGCATAGGTACACATAGACACGTGCGTATTATGCATAGATACACATGTCCAATTGAATATGGTGACTAAATAAGAGTAGTATTCTATTATTCGGAATGAGAAGACGTAGAGCCGAGTTCGAATTCCATTCGGGTTCATGACATTCACTAGCACGTAAATACCCTTGGGAAAGGTATCGTCTCACCCCAAATATGGGATTAATAGCTGGACAGAATGGGACTCATTCTGTCCTTGTTTATAGCCTTGTTTTGCAACCAGTCTATCACAGAAAGAAACGGAAACCTGCTGCGGGAAAATCTACCTAGTTAGTCCTTTTATCAAAAGAGAAATGATTACCCAAGCGTGTATTACGTATAGTACTTAACTGACTGACTGATTCCATTACAAAAGAATTTAAAATAGTCATTCATATCTTTATTACTAAAAATCAATTAAACAATATTAATAATTATCTATGAATTTTCACGCCCTTGGAGGAATTTATCTTTTATGATGTTCGATATATCATGGTGTACTTTACGAAAGGACAATTCGTCGTGCATCTCTCGTCCAGAACTGGAGGCCTATCTTAAATCTCGTCGTTCCACTAGGAGAGTAAAGATGTTTAGTTTCAGTTTTTGTTCACTGATGGAGTTGGTTTAAGAAATTTTGCATTTTTACATAGAAAATAACATTAGTTTATTCAATTAAAGTAAGTATAAAATTTATTTAGTTTATTTCCTTCAGACTTGCTATATTATTTTATGCTTAATGCAAAAATGAACTAAAATAGTTCGAAATTCACCTAAAAATGTAATTTACAAAACTTGATCTTATAACTTGGAAGTAAATTTAATATTTTTCACTAAATTTAAGTTGATTTAATATTCATATAATAAATTAATTTAATATTCTTCTCTATGAATTTTTTTTATTCATAAAAGCAAATACAGTAATGATTACCTTTATTTTTGCCTAATCATTTTTTCTGTTTCGAACAAATTAAAAAAAAGTATATTTAATTTTTACCATGCTTCTTAGACTTGAAATGTAACACTTTAATTTTGTTTAATTTAAAGAAATAATTTATTAATTCACTTTTCTTTAAATTAACTTTCTTATGAGAGACTTTGTAACATTTTTCCGAAGACAGACTAAGAAATAATGTTTTATTATGTTTCATTTTTAATGAACTTAGGACGATTTTTGTTTCTCTTATTCTGATTTTACACCGCGGAATCTATTTAAAAATATTATTTGTTCCATAAAGTCAATTTAATATTTTCTCTGTGATATTATTCATAATAACAAATAAATTGATGATAAAATGTTATTTTTATGAGTAATTTGTGTCTTTCATTCTAGAAGGTATTTTTTAAAAGTATGTTGAATTTTAGTATAAAAAAGACGCAAATGTAATATTTTATACGATAAAATTAATGAAAAAACATTTACTAAGAATGTTGTTATGTAAAATTAATCTCAAAGTTAAATTTAATCCGATATTTTAAGATATTGCAAACGTCTAAATCGGGCATTTTAAGAGTTATTTTTCTACTTTTATAATCATAAAAAATGTATGTTTATGACTTGATAACAATAGTCATTTTATTTCTAAAATAAATAAAATAAAGTTACTTTGATGTTTATTTAGTTTCCTGTCATAGTTTTCTTTGAGAATTAATAGTTCCAATATGGTTATTATTTCATTAAATGTGGATAATTAATTCAGAGATTAAAATGCATATAACATTTCGTACACCCTTGTTAACGAGGTGAGAAGTGATGGATACGAATCTCCCCAAATTATATACTAATTGTAAGAAGACATTGGTAAAGAAAATATATACCAAGAGGATAATTTCGAACCCAATTAATTACGTTTTTAATCTCTACCTTTTCTTTGAATTTCTTAGGACATCTATAGCAATGAAATAACACAAACCTAAACCAAAACTAAAAATCTTCGCCTCAAGTGGGACGACGAGAATTGAGATAGGTCGCCAGTTCTGGTTGGGAGAGGCACCTTGATTTGAACTTTAGTAAAGAACGCCATTACTGAAATACAGTTCAGCCAAGCGCTGGCTAAAGCTGATTTTTTTTTTAAATTTTTTTTTTTTTTTGTAAATACAGTGTTCGGTATCCTTTAGACAGGACCGCATACAATGTAAATATGACGTTTTTCTGGACATTCTTAAAACTCACTACGCACACGCGTTACGAAAAGTTTCACAGCAATAAACAGACCCACAAACGCACAGACAGTATAGGTCCATTTGTTTTATTAGCGTCAAACATTTCGTAACGCGCGTGTTTTGCATATTTTTAATATGGTCCGAAAAAACGTAATATTTACACTATTTAATTCTTCAACTCTCTCTCTCTCTCTCTCTCTCTCTCTCTCTCTCTCTCTCTCTATATATATATATATATATATATATATATATATATATATATATATATATATATATATATATATATAAAAGGTTCAAACATTAATATTCCTTAGTTATAATTTATTACATTAGAATCATAATCACGATTCAATTCATCAGACCTACAAATTCAAAAAGAAATCGATTTCTTTTGAATTTGTAGGTCTGATGTATTGGATCGTAATTACGATTCTAATGTAATAAATTATAATCATGGAATATCAGTGTTTGAGCCTTTTATATTCTTACTCTGTCCTGGACATTGACCTATAACTGGATTCTATCATCTTGAAATTTATATATATATATATATATATATATATATATATATATATATATATGAAAATTTCTCAGAGAACCTGCAGAAAAGACAGTAGTTACAAATATAAATGATAATAGGAAAACTGTAATTATTTGACGCGTTTCGTTCAATGTGGACTAAGTCCACATTGAACGAAACGCGTCAGCAATAACTACAGTTTTCCTATTGGCATTTATATATATTGGCCACTAATACTATCTATCTATCTATCTATCTATCTATATATATATATATATATATATATATATATATATATATATATATATATATTGACCACTAATATCTATCTATCTATCTATCTTGTTAGTTTTAATTTATTTTGTTTAAACGTTATTTTTGATGGATACTCATATTTAAGTAGAAGCTCCGTTTTTTAATTAAACAGTATTTTTTTAACCAACTACATCTACCGGCTAGAATATTCGAGAAATTTTGTCAGATGAAGATGCATTTTTCGGCAGACTTCGAACCTGCAACCCTATTCGAAACCGTCGTTGTTCTGAAGTGCCTAACCACTCAGCCACCGAGAACTTACGGTCAAACACAGCCCGAATATTACCTTTTGAACACACACTCCCTGCAAATTCTGGAAGTATACATATTATTCTGTATCGTATCCTAATTTTAAAAAAGACAATTTATTTTTAAGAAATGATTTCGACATGTGTTTTTTTTTATTTTATTTTTTTTAAACGTAATTTTTGACCGATATTCATATTCGAGGATAAGCTCTGTTTTTTAATCAAACAGTATTTTTCTACTTGAATATGTTGATATTCAGTTGTTAATAACCCCTGACGAGCGAACGGAGTGATTCCCAGAGGGTCCATCTACGAAACTCTGGAGTCGGGATGCTGAAGGTAACATCAATCAGCTAAATGACAAACCTTTTACTTGCATTAATTCTCTCTCCTTTGTATATATATATATACATATATATATATATATATATATATATATATATATATATATATATATATATATATATACTGGTGTATGAACATAAATATCAGTGTATAAATTCGATGACTAAGCGAAATGTTTTCAAAGTTTATTTTTTTCTGTTTGCTATCTTCTCCTTCCCGTCTGGCAACATCAGAATAAAAACATTACGACACTAAATTCCATTTTTTTTATTTGTTTAATAAATCCAGAAAAAAAAAAGGCTAAAATGTATGGAAAGTTGGGATCTGTGTTGATTGCCATTCCATCTTTCCATCTGGTCGCAAGAGATAGGCCAGACTGGCTCTTAAAATGACCTGCCACGTTTCTCTAAGCCAACAGATGGCTCTCGAATAAGATAATAATTATTACATGAATTATCATTATCTGTCCATAACAATCAGCGTTTGATTGTGGATGGCTGATGGTATCGTGTCGATCCGTTCGCATATGAGGCCAAGACAGAAGATCCATAGTCAAGCAATACTTGACGAAAAGAAAGAAAAAGGAAGAACAACAAAACAAGCAGAATAAAAAGAGGAAGTAGGGGCCATTTTTTGGAATGGGTTGCTTTTTAGAAAGACATTTTTCGTATATTATTTCTTTGTTAATTTTTTCTCTTGAAGCGTCAACGGGTTTTTGCTTTTTCTCAACGATCACAATTTAATATTATGTTGTTCCGTTTACTTCTCGTTTCACTTTCTTTCCTTTTCATCGTCTTTCTTTCTAATTTCTAAATAGATTCGGAAATCTAAAACTCTGTTTTTTGTTTGTTTGTTTGTTTCTTTCTTTCTTTCTTTCTTTCTTTCTGTATTTCTTTCTAATATATAAACACTTTCTTAAATTTAAACTCTGTTACTTTGTTCTTTTCTTTCTTTCCACCTACTTTCTTAAATCTAAACTGATCATTCATTTTTCTTTCTTTTTTCTTTCTAATATCTACATAATTTCTTAAATTTAAGTTTTTATTCTTTCTTTATTTCTTTCTTTCTTTCAGCCATTCTTTCTAATATCTAAATATATTCTTAAATTAAATCTTTCTTTCTTTTATTCTTTCATTCTTTTTTCTATTTTCCTTTCTGTCAGTTTTTCTTCCTTCCTCTCTTCTACGTTTTTTCATTCATTCATTCATTCATGCATTCTTTGTAATATCTAAATACTTTCTTCCTTTGTCTTTATTTTTTCTGTTTGTCTTTCTATCCTTTTTGTCTTTCTAATATTTAAATTCTTTCTTAAATTCTCTCTCTCTCTCTCTTTCTTTCTTTCTTTCTTTCTTCTATTTGTCTTTTTTCTTCTGTCTTTCTCATATCTAAATTCTTTCTTAAATTCAAGACTTTTTTCTTTCTTTTCACCATTTTTATGATCTTCCAATTCTTTTTTCTCTCCTTGCCCCCCACCCCATTTGGTTTTATCGTCTTTGATTTTTTTTTGTTTAACTTTTCTTTATTTCCGTTTCTTCTTCCTTTTCCTCATTTTTCTTCCGTATTTTACTTTTTTCCCTTTATCTTCCCCGCTTTCTTGTAAATATGATCCTAAACATTCCTCATAAATCTGTCTACAATTTACCCACATTTTCTCACTTGCCAGATAAATTCTTTTAGCTGCTAAAACATTACGCCTGCACGTGTTAATAGGATATATATATATATATATATATATATATATATATATATATATATATATATATGTATCACTTGAAATGTTATTTTCGTAAATGTTCATATTTGAGTTGATACTCTGTTTATTTATTAAACAGTATATTTAATTATTTCATCTGAATACTTGAGAAATCTTCTAAAAGAAAAATATGAGCAGATATGAAAATTTCGAGAGCTTAGGAGGAGAAGGATTTCGCTTAAGGTCACTATTCAGCCCCTTGCCTGATCGATAAAACTTTTTGGTAGCCGTGTGGGTTATTGCACGTCGGATCTAACACCGGTTTCTTCTGTCCGAGGTGGGGGTGTCGAAGGTTCGTATTCTCTCGGAAAGCGCATATTATTATTATTATAACTGAGACATCCGGAAGAGGCATGTCACGTGGAACTAGAACAATCTACCCCGGTGGACGAAATAAAGGGTTCAGTTCAAAATTCCACTCATCTGAAGAAGGCCGCAGCGTACAACGACCGAAACGTTGTGAATATGGCAATGAAGATGAGGATAACAGTCTGAATATTTTAAATGCAAGTAATCATAATACCTCATCTCAGAGATATAGACAGAGAAATATGACATTAATGTCGAAGCGTGCAACGGCCGAAATTTTGTGAATATGGCAATGAAGATGAGGATAACAGTCCGAATATTTTAAATAATGCAAGTAATCATAATACCTCATCTCAGAGATATAAACAGATATTGTTGCTTGCATAGATAACAGAATAATGATAAAAAAAAAATTACTTTCCTTCATTCATTCTTTATAATATCTAAATACTTTCTTCCTCTCTGTCTTTATTTTTCTGTTTGTCTTTCTTTCTTTCTATCTGTTTTTGTCTTTCTAATATTTAAATTCTTTCTTAAATTAAGCTTCTCTTTCTTTCTTTCTTTCTTTCTTTCTTTCTTATTTCTATTTGTCTTTTTTCTTTCTGTCTTTCTCATATCTAAATTCTTTCTTAAATTTAAGCCTTTTGTTTTATTTCTTTTCACCATTTTTATTATTTTCCAATTCTTTTCTCCTTTCTCGCCCCCATTTGTTTCTATCGTCTTTGATTTTTTTTTTCTCGTTTAACTTTATTTTATATTAGTACATCTATAATCTAAGTCAATTAATTCTTTCTTTACGTATGTACATATAGACATTGATTGATAATTTGTTTTATTTGTTGTGGACCAAGTGTGCTCCTGTAGATAGAAAAAGAAGAGGAATAACAGTCATCTTTGAATGGTGATTATCAGTTTCAAATCTCAAGCGATCATCAGACCATGTGTTGCTATGTCTTTTGGTGCAATCCATGATGTAATAAAAATGTTAAAAAACAAATACGGATAAAATATTCATTAGACTCATTATCAATTACTTAACACAAAACATTCAACAGAAATACTCAAAGCCTTAACTATAGTTGCACCGAAAATATTCTAGAAATCATTACAAAAAACACAACAGAAAAATTTACCCTTACCCCCCACCCGGCATACAACCACTTGTAACTACGGCAGAAAGTTTAAATGTTTCGTCTATTGTCCAGTTCACACTTCTCCTCAGTATTTTGAGAGGTTTATCTCTTTATTCCTTGTTTTCTGTTCAGGATTGGATTTCCAGTCTTTTCTAAAGTCTTCTCGTTCTTTTTTACTGTGAGTCATTTCTTGCGTCTTAGTAGCATTATCGCCTTGCTTGGGGTGAATTGATTAAAAATATATGCGAAGTTTAAGATCGAAACCGAGGACTATTTTTGTTATTTTTCATGTTCTTCTCGGTGATTTGGTCTCTATTCTTTTTTTTAATATTCCTATGTATTTTAAATTTTTTTGTTATTTACATAATTATTTATGTTGAATATTTTGGGTGAGAAGATTTTTTATTCGCATATTTTGAATCTTAAGGTAGCTACGCATATTTCTTTTTTAATCACTTCACCCCAGGCAAGGTGATCATTTTGTTTCAAATACCAGAATTAATAACACGAAAAACGAATATAGAATAACAAATAAAAAAAATTAGTAAATAAAATATATTTAAAAAAAAGGTAAACAAATATCAGCTCATGAGCATAAATAAGTTCGAAAATTTAGCCCTAAAAAAAAAGAACTGATAAAATTCAGTCTTCATCTCTCGTTCCACCATTTTTCCATAAGACCCCTATATTCTGAGGACGCACAAGAAATAGTACCGCATGGTTTTGACGTTGACTAGAGCTGGGAACACTTACCATGTAGCGTTGATGTTTATATAAACACTGTCTGTATCTATATTCGTATCTCTCTCTCTCTCTCTCTCTCTCTCTCTATATATATATATATATATATATATATATTATTGTTATTATTATTATTATTATTATTATTTTCTCTTATATATAAGCGGGCTTAAATAGCGCTACGAATGTGTGTGTGTGTGTGTGTGTGTGTTTGTGTGTATATATATATATATATATATATATATATATATATATATATATATATATATATATACACACAGTTAGGGAGTTTACAATTTAACTATAGTTGGGACCCTAACAGGTACTACCACCCCGGGTCAGGGTGGACTTGGGAACAACACTAATTAAGAGGTGGTTCAACGTCCTCCCGATCAGAGTCCTTGCTGTCGGATGTAGCTTATTGTCATACCCAGGACGTATAAATATATATATATATATATATATATATATATATATATATATATATAAGCATTTCGTTCCAAACAAGGCGTAAGTGCCACTGGTTCGCAGGGCGTTACATAGATTGGAGGTGAGAGAAAAAACTGTGTATGGAGGGAATGACGAAAGGATAAAAGATGAACGGTATTCAAGACATCAGAAGATGGCGATTAACGTTGCATTTACATTTTTGAAGATTATAGTTATCATGGAAGTAAGTAAACGGAAGGAAGTTCCACAGACAGGATGTGCGAAAAAAGAAGCTGTTGGAGTAGAAGTGGCGCTTACATTTGACTATTTCAACAGTAAAACGGTGAGACCCAGATGTCAATCTAGTAGGACGCTTAAATTCTCGTAGTCGGGGCACCAGGGAATAAAAGCCCGACAGAACAGTTTCCATGAAAATATTTGTAGAAAAGAGGGAAGCCTCATTATATCTGCGAGAAAGTGACTGGAGGCGTGATGCTAATTCAGGATCGATTACATTGCAGTTCCTTCTATAGATTCTGTCAAGAACCTCGAGATGAACACCTGGGTCACAAGACCAGACATGGCAACCAATGCATGGGCGAATACTAGATTTGTAGATATGTAAAATGGACTCTGACGAGAAAAAACTTTTGGCACGACACAGTGAACCAACTTTCCTTGCAGTAGATGCAGCTATTGATTCAATGTAGTTGTTTCACTTCAAGTTATTCGAAAACGTCAGGCCAAGAAGATATGTGTGTGCGTGTGTGTGTGCATGTGTGTGTATGTGCGTGTATGAGGAGGAACCTTAACTCAGTATTTAAACTTTTCGATTAAGTTTTGGAACTTTCTCTTTTGCAATCTGAAGGATCAATCAATTTGTAAAGGAGTATAATCTCAAATGCCCTTGGAAAAGGCTTGTAACCATCTTTCCCTATCTGGCCAATCTGGGAACTCTTGCCTGGATTATTTCATTTTATTTTTGTGAATATTATTAAAGATCGCTCAATACAAGGCTCAAGTGCCACTCTTGGTAGAGGATTACTGAATGAGCTTCGTGATATGACCAAAAGAGGAGGTAAAAAGAAAGTGAAGATTATGAGGATAAGGAGGATATATTTATAGCGTTTGACCTTTGATTTGAAATGGTTAAGTGTTTAGAGCTCCGTTATCCACCGTCGTGTGCAGGTTAAATTGGTTCCAGGAACATTTATCTGACTTCCAAGTAATCCATTCGCCAGGTTTGAACTACATTGAGTATGTATGAAATATGTTAGAGACTAAATTCCTTGCAGCTTCACCCAAGAAACACAATTCAGTTACAGAGAGTCCTGAAAAATGTACACATATATATACCATCGTAATAACTCCATGATACGTCGAGTTACTGCCGTTATTCAGCTGTCTTTAATAGTTTGCCATTTCAATTGATACTTATATATATATATTTGGGATACTTATATATACTTATATATATTTGGGGTATATCTGTCTGAGATTTACTGTATAAATTCTCTATAATATATTCATTAAAAATCGTTTTCTTATATTGACGTATAACTTATACGATCGTATGATGTTTGTAAATATTAAGAGAAGGACTAGCAAAGAAAGAATCGGTCCAGCGATAATGTATATACCTTTTTGTCTTAGGATGAGACACGGTAAAATTGAATCGACTTTGGCCTTGGGGATTTTCACGCCAAGATAGAGGCTCCCCGTTATAGTAAAAGGGTGTTACACTGACGTCTTTGTAGAAGTGATCGCAGAGATAAAAGAATTTTTTCTTTACCCAAATATAAGTGGATGGAACCCCACATTAAACCGAACTTGTGTTACATTTGCCATCACGGGGAAATAAATAAATAAAATTAGTAAACTGACAAATTTATATTTTTCTAAGAATACACAAAAATATTCACAGCGCATAATATACGCTCCTGATACAGACACGCTCACAACACGTACGCAACACACAATATACAGCCACGATACACAGTAACAAACACAACTCACACGCTCAGAACACAACAAAATTACGATACTTTACAGCCAATGAAAACATGGCTGCCAAGTAGAAATGGTCGTTTCTGCGGAAAAAAGAAATACGAAAAACAGAATGAAGTTCTTCAAGACTGTGCCTCTGATTGATAATTCCAACGGACTGTGAAAGTTGATTTCATGGACGGTAGCAAGTCAACCGGAAGTTAGCCATGATAATTGCATGAATAAAATAAACAGCAATTCTCTCTTCTTTCATTTATTTTCTTTCGCCTCTATGTCGACATCGTTTTCTTTTCTTTTACAAGAGAAGAGGATTTACATGCGAAATAAAAAAAGGAAAAGTACAAGTAAATGGCATTAGAATTAGTCTGTTACTTTAGAACAGTAAAAGACAAACGCTGATGTTTTCAAATTGTATCCATTTTACTTGTACGCCTGAATTTCTATTGAAAGAAGAAAGTAGTAGTCTTTCTCAAAACGAAATTTTCCTCTTGTCAGGTAAATCATTAAATGGCGGACTTTCCCATCGAGATATTTATTAAGTTTTAGAACCTCCAAATATAGCAATTTTTAACAGAATGTTTACACGCGACATTTTAGTAAAACTGTTAATGTCTTTCCCAAATTAATCAAGTATTCATAACAGTTTAAATAGATTGACAGACTCCAGGATGACTCAACTTGTAAACAGACGAATAATGATAGAGTTAAGAGTAAATGTCATTGTTTAGAAGAGTTCAGAAATTTAAAATGGACCACTTTAAGGAAAGCTCTTATAACGAAATCATCGAAAAACTATTTAAAATGGACCACCTTCAGGTTAGCATCGGCGAACAAGATTATCCCAAAACTATTTAAAATGGACCACCTTAAGAAAAGCTCTAATAACATCGGCGAACAAGATCTTTCCAAAACTAAAAAGATGCAAGAAAAAGAAAGTGATGACAGACGAAACTCTGGAAATCGTTAAAAAATAATCACAGAAAACACCGTCTTATTATAGAATATTAAGCATAAACATTACAAACAAATGCAAGCGCGCAAAAGAGAAATGGCTCAACTAAAAGTGTGGACAACTAGAAAAAATGAGTATCATAGATACAGCAGGCATGCATACAAGTCACTTGAAACAAATAAATATTGTCATTTTTTCAGAATGTCTGTACATTGATCCATATTTTAGTAAAACTTTTATATCAAATTATAGCATCTATCAGTGGGAATTAATGTGGAGTTGTACAATAGGGACTCTACCAACAGAACTAATCTTTTTTTTTCAATTTTTTTTTCATATGATTATAGATTAAATACTTCCGATGACAAATATTTTAAAAATTGTTAAATTTTATTAAAACTTATGAAATTCATTTTACATTTTAAAACAAATAGCTTCGTAATACATGATTTCTTAAAAAGTGAAAAAAATATACAATTTAAAATCAGGAATTCTTTTTTTCATATCTTATTGTCTATTAAGGACTCCATTTATTCTTGAAAAAATGTTTTGGTCGCAGTGTCTATTGTGTAATTCTGCCAATGTTGGTATTGCACTTTTGTTAGAGATGCCTTCGAAAAATGAGTGAATTTATCATAATTGTATGTCTAGAAATCTATTATTAGCTTTTTAAAAATATTTTTTGCATAGATAAAAAAAATCTAAAACAAATCGATCAACTATTACATTAATAAGAAGTACCAATTTATTTCTGTCCAATAATAAAAGTATCAGTCTATTTTGTTTTGTACATTAAAGACAGCAATATTAATAAATACTATTAAAACCAACTTAAAGGGAATGACAAGCCAGAAAAGTAATTACATTTTTCCAGAGAACTGAAATAAATAATAAATATGAAGGGGACGCTGCAGAAATATATCCTAGAAATAAATTGAATATATCCAATAGACCGAGTTATGAAATTCAGTATAAATCATGAAGAGATTTGTTTTTAATCAATTCGCCACGAAGACGCAAGGGTCTACTGCGAGTAAAAGAGAACGAGGGCAATTGAGAAGGAAGCGGAAACCTAATCCTGAACAGGAAACAAGGATAAACTTCTAATTCTCTTCAAAAGATTGGGGAAGAGTGTGAACTGGACGACAGTCGAAACTATCTACTCCTGTCGGGGTAAAACAAATTTTTCAAAAATTGAAAATAAAATTTCAGGGTTTAGTTGGGGACGCAAAAGTATAGATTTGAAGATCACTGGAATATTTAGGAAGCTTGCAAGCACTTTATCTCCTTAGATCCATGCTGCCATTTACTATTGAATTGATGAGAGAAATAAATAATAATAATAATCAGATAGAGGCAGTAACAACTTTATAGCACACTGAAACAGATTTAGTAGGAGAAAGAGTAAGACCTTTCCTTTGGAACTTGTTAGACGTCTTGTTTACATTTATTATGAATGCAATGCGAAGAAGATTAATAATTTAAAAAATAAAATTCTGGAAGTTTGGGAAGGACTCTCAAAGAAAGTAATGAGAGTAGCAGTGATCATTATAGTATTGAGGTGTGTTCTACAAAAAATATGTAAAATTTTTGTAGATACTGGATTGTGATTTGAAAATGTAGCTATCAGGAAAAGTTTACCTCCTGGCAACACCAAGGATACTTTGGAAAGTGCTGGATACAGCCTGTTGGAGAAAATAAGAAATGATCGATTTATTTTCTTAAGTCACAAGTGGTGACCTGAAAATATACTTTTTACCAGTAACCAATGATGTGAATAATAATAATAATAATAATAATAATAATAATAATAATAATAATAATAGCTTAGTCGGGTACAAGGTCTCAAAAGCGATGCTGAGATACTTGACATAATCTGATTTCTGGTGAGAACCACTGAACAAGACATGATAACTAAAACAAATAAAACTCGTGAGTCTTTGCGAGAATGTCATTGAAAATTTAATTTTCCCCTTGATAAATAGGCAGCTAACTACATGTGATTTTTTCAAGACGTATAATATTTTAGAAGTGTCAGTATAAATACAGGAAGAGTAACTGCTCTATAAAAAATGAGTCTTACAATAGAAGAAATGAAGTTTAGAGAAGTAAAACGTGTAAAAAAAGGAAACACGTAAAATAAATAAATAAATAAAGAAAGAAAGAAAGAAAGAAAGGAAACCTGTATAATAGAGACAGAGAACTTCATTAAGAAAAGGACGAAAAGGAAGGATGAAAGAGATGACAATGGAGTAAGAGAATAACGAAAAGAGGAACAAGGAAAGCAGAATGAAAAGCATATACATACTGCGTAAAGAGAAAGAAAAAAAGAACGAGATAGCGTAGAGGAGGAGGAGAGGGAAGAAGAAGAAAAGAAGAAGAAGAAGAAGAAGAAGAAGAAGAAGAAGAAGAAGAAGAAAGCAGGATAGTACGGAAATGAAAGATAAAAGAAAAAGCAAAGAAAAGAAAGAAAGAAAATGGAACAGAGAAGAAATGGAATAAACAAGATTGAAATGAAAAAGGAAGGAAGGAAGGAAGGAAGGAAGGAAGATCTGAGGAAAAATTAGGAAGGATTGAAAAATGAAAGAGAAAGAAAGAGTAATGCACAGAAAGAAGAGAAAAGAACGGTGGAAAAATGTCGAGACAAAAAAGGAGAAAGAGAAGAAAGAAAATATAAAAAAAAACAGGAAGAATCAAACAAGAAGGCAAGAATATAAGATTTGACAAGCGGAAATTTGGAATTATAGAGGACCGCCATATTTGACTTCTTTTATTCTTTTGAGTCTTAATCTGCCGTCGCTTTGATTTTGCCCTAAATTCCTAATCCTTTGACTTTATATCAAATTACAGCATCAGCTCAAGTGATCCATAATACAGTTTATTCGCAGGAATCTGTCGGTGGGCATTTAGAAAAAATCTAAAGAGGAATCTGCAATGTTATCGGTTCTGACCTGGCCTCTTTGTTGTAACCCTTTTTCAAACGCCGTAACATAGCTTTCCTATGCTTTCTATATAAATGCTTTCATAGTAATTATTCTGATGATCTCTCCTCTTTGGTAATCCGACTTCATGAATTTAAGCAGAGTACTAGATTGGCAGATAGGTCTCATTATTCGAATGTTGAAATTGATAAATCTAACCATAAGTTCTATTCTAATGGTTTCTTCTCTACCACTTCTCGCCTATGGGACTCTTTTCCTCTCAACAAGAATTCCAAAAAAGTTTAAATACAATGTCAATCGTCATCTTCCGTCTCCTTGCCACCTGTTCTTTTATTGTCCTTCAGCCAAACATAAAAATATGTAGAAGTGACTCTTGTTTTCATTGCCTTATTCATCTGTTTTTCTTTAGGATGTTTAATTAAAACTTTATAATTTTATAATTACATTTAATTTTACTAAATTTATAATAAAAATTATAATATAATATAATTATATATATATATATATATATATATATATATATAATAAAATTATGTAATTTTTATATATAATTAAAATGTTTATATTTATAAACATTTTATCTTTATAATTAAATTTTATTTATTATCTATCATTTTAAGCAAAACATTTTCAGTTTTCACCGTCAGATAGATATTAACACAGATAAAATAGATACATATTAGACTGTCACACATGAAATGATGCATTTTATAGGAAATGAATAAAACGCTTCTTGTCAAATAACTAATTGAATTGAAATAGGAACAATGTTGATGAATGACTGTTCGCCAAAGTACCTTTAAATTCTTGATTCCATTTAAAAAAAAATACTCATCCTTTGATGTGATAAACAGTTCAAATGCTACGATTCCCTCTTCCTTATGGGTGAATATTTTATTGCGTATGAAAAACTCAAAGTACTTAAATAAGTGATAATCAGTTCCACGTGCCATGTCCTCAAGGACACATGGCACAGTGGATAAAGGCGTTGGTTAGATCCAGTGACAGGACCCAAATAGTGTGAGTTCAATACACGGTTAAGGCAGTGGAGAAATTTCAGAGGGAAATTAACAGGAGATAACTAATGACTGACATTCATTAAACACGGCACGTGGAACTAGAACAGTCTACCACAGTGAGTTAAATAAAGTGTTCAGTTCGACATTCCAACCACCTGAAGAAGACCGGAGCGTAGAAAGACCGAAACGCTGTAATAAATATGGCGACAAAGATGAAGACAATAGTCCGAATAATGTAAATAATAGCATTGAGATTTCATCAATTCACAGATAGGATGGCTTGATGAAGCTGCAAGTTCTATGCTAACAGTTTCTTTTCCCGCCCTTATCGCTTGTGGAACTCTTTTCCGGCTCCATATTTTAATCTGCAAAAATTTAATGCAATGTCAATGGCTATCTATTTTCCTCCTGTTTACTTCTTTCTCTTTCTGCCCTCTATCAATGTTTCTGTTCCTAATTCTTCCATACCCTATAACTCATTGCGTCTTAGTGGCTTTACTCTCTTGCTTGGGGTGATAGCGATTAAAAAAATAAAGTAAAACAACCAAAATGAGTTTAATCGTCTGAAAGGAAAGGAATAGACGAATGATAATTTCTCATCCAAAAAATTCAAGCATAATTTATCTCCACTATTTACATTATTCGGACTATTGTCCTCAGATTTGTCGCGATATTTATTAAAACGTTTCGGCCGTTGTACGCTCCGGCCTTCTTCAGGTGGTTGGAATGTCGAACTGAACCCTTTATTTCGCTCACTGGGGTAGACTGTTCTAGTTCCACGTACCATAGATCTAACTATCTGAGGACACATGGCACAGAGGATATAGGCGTTAGTTAGATCCAGTGACAGGGCCCAAAGAGTGTGAGTTCAATACCCGGTTAAGGCAGTGGAGAACTTGGAGAGGGGACTTAACAGGAGATAACTGACATCCATTAAAAACATGGCACGTGGAAGAAGACCGGGATGTACAGCGGCCGAAACGTTGTATAAATTTAATTAAATAAGGCCTTACTTTTTGAGATATTTTCATTTATGCAATTTTTCTCCCTTCTAGTTGTCAGTACATTCGCGTACTTGTAAAATAGCGCTATATGCGTTTCTATATGCGTATGTGCCTGTTTTTTTGAAAACTACATAGAAAAAAATACAGGTATTGTTCCTACCTTGGGAAACTGACATTAGACACTTGACCCTGTTGAGATTCAGGAAACGTAACGAATTAACAGGACACACCTATTACATAGATAATGTCACATATTATAGCTGACATTACAGTCAGATTTTGTGCTTCATGTCAACAGATGTTACTTGAGTCTCCTAAGACACTTTAAGACTTACCTACGCCACCCGATCGCAATGTCTTAGATTCCTTCACGATTTTGTAATTGGAACATATCATAAATAAAAACCAATTTGAGTTATGCTTTTGTTCACCAACGGGCAATGACAAGTATCCATTGTTCCTCGTCTTTTTACTGCCAAAGATCCCCTTATATTTATTTGTACATTGAATGATGGACTTCGTAATCTAATCTCGTAGCAATATTTTAAAAGTATTATACATGCCTTTAATTGTTCTACATTGTGAATAATATATTTATTTTATAAACAAAAATTTTGTTCGGTTTAGTAAAAATATAGGACATGTCTGAATTTTATTGAGCAACGCTTTCCCTATTTTGTTCCAAGACGACAAAAAATGAGACGCCAAACTCCGAAGGTGCATAGAAATAGAGAAAGTTGTTTTTTAGAAACTAAGCTCAGTATTAAGAGACACGAAATTTCGGTATGAATAAAGAAAAGTGTGCTAAACTAGTAAGTAATATGAGTTCTCCTGTAAATACTGGACAATTTCCTCACTGATGAAGAGAAAACTTGAAGTAAGAGAGATGTGCGTCAGAGGGCATATTGAAAGCAAAATGTATAGAAAGTGAAACATCAAGTAATCTACCTAACAAGTAAAAGCGGATGGTAGAACAGAGACTGGAAGGGAACATGTATTGTTTAGAGCTGTAATAATAGGAATTTATGGAAAACCAGGATAACCTAAGCTGTGAAGGAACATCGTAAATAAAAGAAATCTTCTGCCCTCTCCAAACTCATAATTCCATCATCACAGAACTTAAGTGATTTTTTTCTAATTTTTCGCGGCACATAAATTTTTTGTTAGCTTTGGATTCTCTTTACAATCTTCCAAACAAAATGAAAATTTATTCATTAAAAGAAATTCTTTAAAAGACGATATAGATATTAATTCGAAGAGGTAGCGTAGGAGTAGTGGATAGCGGATTAAATTAAAGAATCGGAGTGCGGAGTTCGAATTCCAGTCGGATCCATTATATTCATTTACGTACTAATACCCTTGGGAAAGGTATGAATCCTCTTCTAGATTTTCCCGGAGGTGTAATGGATAGCGGCTCGGATTGGGGAATTGGAGAGCCGAGTTCGAATTCCAGTCGAATCCATTACATTCATTTACGTGCTAATACCCTTGGGAAAGCTATGAATCCTCTTCTAGATTTTCCCGGAGGAGTAATGGATAGCGGCTCGGATTGAGGAATCGGAGAGCCGAGTTCGAATTCCAGTCGAATCCATTACATTCACTTACATACTAATACCCTTCGGAAAGGTATGAATCCTCTTCTTCCACAGCTATGGGCAAATAGCAGGTTAGATTGTTTCTTTAGCCTTGGTGGCATATATTTTAAGAGAAAGGAACTCTGGAGTGGGGGTTGGACACAATCAGGCTCAATCTTGCCCAAGAAACACCACTTCTACTTCTGTGAATGTTGTACCTCTACGACCCTGATAGATCACGGGATTCACGATATCTGTATAATACGTTGGCCGATGGAGAACTTCTGAGTCAATGTGCAACTATTTTAACGGATCAAGAAATATGTGACCTAGCGTTTGGATATTAAACTCTTTCCGTTTTACATTTCTTTTACTTAAATGTCGAAAATTCTACTAATTTATTTTTGTCTGAAATTTAAAGATGAGTAGTTATCATTCTCTACATGCTGACTATTGTCCTCATCGTTTTAGCCGTTTTACTCTCCGGCCTTCGTCAGGTGCTTTTTTTTTTTTAGAACCAACACTTCAACCCACTAGGTTATTGTTTAAATACTATTTTGCTCTTATTTCAAAGCTGATAATTAAAAAATACAATCAAAAGTAGAACAAAACACCCTTCATTTTATCTAATGATAAAACAGAACGACTTTTTTGGCTAACCTAATGTATCAAAGTTTTAAGAGGTGCAAATAAACCAGTGTTGGAAAACGGAATTCTAAGAGAATGTTTCTATTTTACTGGTACTATGTCCTCAGGAAACGTATAAATCAGCTTTTCCCTACGTTTTATCCCATCACTAGTTATGTTGAAGGTTACTTCTTCTTGATATCCAAAAATAGCTGATGCAGAAAAAAGTTGTTGAAAACTTGAGAAAAGCACTCTCTCATAACTATATTACCTGTCCAGATATTAGCAGCAAAATAATGATAAATCCATTATGACATTTGACAAAATTCGATTGTATATTTCTGTCCTTGATTTTGATATATTTTAAAAAATTGCCGATTGCACTA